GTCCTCACCGGCAGGAACCTTGTCCACACCGCCAGGAACCTTGTCCTCAACGCGAGAAACCTTGTCCACACCGCCAGGAACCTTGTCCTCAACGCCAGGAACCTTGTGCTCACCGCCAGGAACCTTGTGCTCACCGCCAGGAACCTTGTCCTCACCGGCAGGAACCTTGTCCACACCGCCAGGAACCTTGTTATTAAAAAAAAAATGGATCTGATGGATCCAATGGATTTTAGTTATATAAAAAAAAAAGGATCCGATGGATCTGATGGATCCAATGGATTTTAGTTATATAAAAAAAAAATGGATCCGATGGATCCGATGGATTTTAGTTATATAAAAAAAAATGGATCCGATGGATCTGATGGATCCGATGGATCCAATGGATTTTAGTTATATAAAAAAATGGATCAGATGGATCCAATGGATCTGATGGATACATTGGATTTTAGTTATATAAAAAAAATGGATCCGATGGATCCAATGGATACATTGGATTTTAGTTATATAAAAAAATGGATCCGATGGATCCAATGGATTTTAGTTATATAAAAAAAAATGGATCTGATGGATCTGATGGATCCGATGGATCCAATGGATTTTAGTTATATAAAAAAATGGATCCAATGGATCTGATGGATCCAATGGATTTTAGTTATATAAAAAAAAAATGGATCCGATGGATCCAATGGATACATTGGATTTTAGTTATATAAAAAAATGGATCCGATGGATCTGATGGATCCAATGGATTTTAGTTATATAAAAAAAAATGGATCTGATGGATCCGATGGATCCAATGGATTTTAGTTATATAAAAAAATGGATCCAATGGATCTGATGGATCCAATGGATTTTAGTTATATAAAAAAAAATGGATCCGATGGATCTGATGGATCCAATGGATCCCCATTGGATCCATCAGATCCATTTTTTTTATATATAACTAAAATCCATTGGATCCATCGGATCCATTTTTTTTATATAACTAAAATCCATTGGATCCATCGGATCCATCAGATCCTTCGGATCCATTTTTTTTTATATAACTAAAATCCATTGGATCCATTTTTTTTATATAACTAAAATCCATTGGATCCATCGGATCCATCAGATCCATTTTTTTATATAACTAAAATCCATTGGATCCATTTTTTTTATATAACTAAAATCCATTGGATCCATCGGATCCATCAGATCCTTCGGATCCATTTTTTTTATATAACTAAAATCCATTGGATCCATCGGATCCATCAGATCCTTCGGATCCATTTTTTTTTATATAACTAAAATCCATTGGATCCATTTTTTTTATATAACTAAAATCCATTGGATCCATCGGATCCATCAGATCCATTTTTTTATATAACTAAAATCCATTGGATCCATTTTTTTTATATAACTAAAATCCATCGGATCCATCAGATCCTTCGGATCCATTTTTTTTATATAACTAAAATCCATCGGATCCATCGGATCCATCAGATCCTTCGGATCCATTTTTTTTTATATAACTAAAATCCATTGGATCCATCGGATCCATTTTTTTTTATATAACTAAAATCCATTGGATCCATCGGATCCATTTTTTTTTATATAACTAAAATCCATTGGATCCATTGGATCCATCGGATCCATCAGATCCATTTTTTTTTATATAACTAAAATCCATTGGATCCATCAGATCCATTTTTTTTTTATATAACTAAAATCCATTGGATCCATCGGATCCATTGGATCCATCAGATCCATTTTTTTTTATATAACTAAAATCCATCGGATCCATCGGATCCATCAGATCCATCGGATCCATTTTTTTTATATAACTAAAATCCATCGGATCCATTGGATCCATCAGATCCATTTTTTTTTATATAACTAAAATCCATCGGATCCATCAGATCCATCGGATCCATTTTTTTTATATAACTAAAATCCATTGGATCCATCGGATCCATTGGATCCATCAGATCCATCAGATCCATTTTTTTTATATAACTAAAATCCATTGGATCCATCGGATCCATCGTGTTTTTTTTTTTTAGTAACTTTTATAATAAGTTCAGTGTTTTGGGATTTGAACCCACAAACCAAGTAGTACTGTGGACGGTGGTGGTCTCTAAACATTGGCACAACTGCTTGTTCCGCATGCATAAATTTTTAACTAGTTTTTGGGATTGGATTTATTCAAATTTGAGGTGATTTTGAAC